GGGGGGGGGGGGGGGCAACGGCTCCTAGCTCTGGCATAGCCCTCGATTCTTAACCTCGAGACGACCGACCAATATCGGCCAATCTCGGCCACAATCTCGGCCAATCTCGGCCTCACCGACTCCCAGCTCTCGGACAGCATCGTGGCGTCGCGGTCGGCGACGAACATCGCCGCCTCCTCCTGGTTCGTCTTTGCCTTGGCCTCGCTCTTGGCCGTGCGCTCGGCGTAGAACTGCTCGATCGCGCCCCGCGCCTCGGCCTCCTTCTCGGCCAGCGCAGCCGACGCGGCGGCCGCACGCTCCGCGAGCTTGTTCTCCTGCGCACGCACAGCGGGAGAGAGGGGCGTCGCGTCGGACGGCGACGGCGGGGGGGCAAGGCCTGGGGTGGGTGTTTCCAACGAGGCGGACTCGCAGCGGCGCATGCCATCGATGTGGTGGAGGGCTGTGTGTGTGTCGGGGGTAGAGGTGGAGGCGGGCGACGGGAGAGGGCGGGGGGGGAGAGAGTCTCGGGATTCTCATCTCTCTCGAGTGTGGAAGGCGTGCTCTCCTGCGCCATGCGGTACTCGGCCAGCGGCCCGATCTGCAGAAGGGGGGGAGGGGGGGGTCACGAGAGTCGTTGTGCGCGCGTGGTGTGTGTGTGTGTGTGTGTGTGTGTGTGTGTGTGTGTGTGTGTGTGTGTGTGTGTGTGTGTGTGTTGTCGTTCCGCTGAGGGGCGCCGGTGGGGAGGGGGGGGGGGGCAAGGGGGCCGGGAGGGGGCGCGCCGTCGGCATCGAAAAGTCTGGCGGGGGCTCGGAGGCCATGCCACCGCCCAACATCCCTCCGTCCATGCCTCCGCCCATGCCTCCGCCCATGCCTCCGTCCATCATCATGCCCCCGTCGGCTGGGGCGCCGAGCCCCTCCATGCCGAAGCCGTCCACCGGCGGCGCCTCGAGGGGCGGCGCGCCAAACATGTCCATGCCGCCCTCAGCGGGCGGTGCGCCGAGATCCTCCGGCGGCGGCGCGCCAAAGTCCATGCCGCCCTCGGCCGGCGGCGCGGCGAAATCGTCCGGCGGCGGCGCGCCAAAGTCCATGCCGCCCTCGGCCGGCGGCGCGGCGAAATCGTCCGCCGGTGGCGCGCCAAGGTCCATCCCGCCCTCAGCCGGAGGCGCGCCAAAGTCCTCGGACGGCGGCGGCACAGCTTCCTCGTTCACCGTGAAGACGTCGTCCATCGCTCTGGCGCGGAGCGGGGAGGTAGTGAGGCGTGCGGCGAGGGCAGTCTGCGGGTCTTAGGGGCGGTGAGCCGCGCGCAAGCACCTGTGTTTTGGGCTGTGGGGTGGTCACTTTTGGGTGCACGCCGCGGGAAAGAATTTTTCCGGGGGCGCGCAGTGGCGGTGGGGACCCTGTCCTCCTCCCCTATCCCTCGTTTGGGTTGTCTGTTTTCTTTCTTTCTGCGCAGTGGCGGTGAACCTTCTTTTGTAGACCGCTAGGATTGAGTAGCTCCGCTCTCAATCCTAGTGAAGTCGAAGGATTGTGAGCAGCACTCCTCGCAATCGTAGCATCTCTGTACGATTGCTAGCACCTACGCTCGCAATCCTACATCTTCTAGGACTAAGAGCAGCTCCGCTCCCAAGGTGACTGGTGACGCCTACGACTAGGGGGCGTTCTGCAGTTAAGCTTGAGGGGAAACCTGGTACACGGAGAGTATTCTCGTATTGCTAGCTCCAAGGAGAGGGGGCGTTCCGCAGCTAAGGGGACCCACAGCGCGAGGGAAAAAATCCGCCGCTGGGGATACCCGGAGCGCAGAGGCCAGAGCCAACCCTCGGAGGAGACCCGTGTTATGGCCCTGCGACCGCGCACCCCCCAGGGCTAGGGCTATCGTCTGGCAACTGGGGCGCTTCTTAGCTCCCCGATCCTGGGCGTGCGGTTAATGACTGCACCCCAAGTGTGCTCACGGTGACACACGGTTAGTGCTCCAACGGCCAACGCGAGGGGTGGTGGCTGGGGGGTGGTGTGTTGGTGTCCACACACGGTGCACAGCCGCTGACCGCGGACGCGCGTTTTGTCAGGCGTGGTGCGCGTCAAAAAAAGCACAAACGGATAGCGCGCGGGCGGACAGGGCGCCCTCGTCGCTCATATTCAATTTCTCAGTGAAGGTATCACGTGCCTTACCGTATAATATAGCCCACACAGACACACACCTCGGCCCCTGCGTGTGCTCTCGTGACGTGCATCACTTCATCTCTGCCACCCTGGCCGCGGCCTTGGTCTTCAGCGCAAACGCCTCGTTCTGCACACACACGATCGGCGGGGTGAGAGAGAGCAGGCGTGTCGGGCGGGCGCGATGTTCTGTGGCGCGCGCGCCGTTCTATCGACGTAGCCGTCCATCAGGCGCGTGATGCGCTCCACGTTCGACACGACGAGGAGGAGCCCGCCGAACGCTCCAACGTAGCCGAACGCCCCCGGGACATAGCGCGCGGGGTTCATCAGACACCGCGCGAAGCAGCTCGCCTGGACGCGGGCGGCGGCGGCGGCGTCAGCGCAGGCGGCGCCGGTGGTGGCGGCAGCCCGGCTTTGGTGCCGCAGTCAAACACGGGGGAGAGAGGTGCGGGAGGAGGCGCGGGCGGTGGCGGAACGGGTGGTGGCGGAGGTGGAACGGCGGAGGCGGGCAGGAGCACCTACTCCGCCAGCTCGAAAGAATTTAGACAACCGTCCCTCCTTGTGTCTATCTGAACCAGTTACTTCCTGAAGTAACTACTTACTCTGAGAAGTAACTCCCCGCCCCGCGCCTGCAATGGCCCCTAGCCCCCGCCCACAGGCCACAGCTCCCTAGACGCAGGGCAGACCTGGACTGGAACGGACCCGCCCCCTAATACTCCTCTGAGGAGTGGTGGCCATCGTCGGAGTCGGTAGGAGGACTCCCTGTTCTTGTGTGGGGCTTGCCTTGGACTTGTGTATGCCGGGCGTGTCGAGCACTTGGTCGCGGCGGCGGGGAGACCTCCTGCGCTCCCCATGCGGCCTCACCGGAGCCTGCGGCGTGCTTGGGCATGCGTGTAGAGGAATGTTCGACATCGAGAGAGATTTTTAGCAATACCAAACAACTCTAACACTCACACGTCATTTGGGGCCTGGAGCCCTGTTCACGCGCGCGCGAGACGTGCAGACAGGGTTGCCAGGTGAGAGCGAATCTTTCTTTGTAGCGAGTCGGCTTCCAAAATTCTTTCTTTTTGCACGACACTGGGCACCTGCGAGGGAGCTTTGTTCTAAAATTCTTTCTTTGCACAGTGTTGTAGAGCGAGCTCTCGTAAAATTCTGTTCCGAGAAGGCGGTTAGCTCTCCCTTCCGCTCGGATCACGATCCGCTGTGATCAAGAGGAAGTAAGCCCGCATTTAGACGCAGGCCTTCTCCGCGCGTCCGCCGAGGAGGGTACATGCACACTCGATGCCGTCGGGCGGCGTGCTCGAGTGCGAGCCGAGTACTAAATGGTTCCCGATCTTCGTGTCCAAGCTTTCTGGCGCGACCGGCAAGGTGGTGGCCGTGACTGGCTGCACGTCTGGCACGGGATTTGTGTGCGCTCTGACGTGCGCTCGCAAGGGCGCCCACGTGGTCATGCTGAACCGGAGCTCGAGCCGAGCAAGTAAGGCCGAACGCCAGATCAGGGATCTGGTGCCTGACTCGACGGTGGAGACGATCGAGTGTGATCTCGCGAGCTTTACCAGTACTCGCAAGGCGGCAGACACCCTCATTCAGAAATTCGGCGCCCAAGGCGTTGACGTGCTGTGCTGCAACGCTGGCGTGGGCTCGTCCTCTGATCTTGCGACCGAGGACGGCTACGGAATTCAGATGCAAACGAATCACCTGTCCCACTTTCTGCTGACGACGAAGTGCTTCCCCCTGCTCGAGATGGCAGCCAAGCAGCGTGGCGAGGCTCGCATCGTCAACCACTCGTCGCTCGCACGCGACTTCCCTCGAACACTGAGCGAGAAGCACCTGGGCCCAAATGGCGGCCAGCTCGGCGGCAACGGCAACTACCTCATCTTTGGACCCAGCTGGAGGCGGTACTACATGACTAAGCTCGCAAATTCTGTGGCGACCCAGGCAATCCACGAGCGGCTCAAGGCACGCCGCTCAGCCGTCAAGGCCGTCTGCGCCGCACCTGGTCTCGCTTACACCGGCATGGCTGAAAAGTTCGCCTCATCTGGATTGATCGACAGCCTTTTCTTCCAGCTTACCAAGTGTTTGTTGCAATCGGCCGAGGAGGCCACCATGCCGCTGCTACAGTGTTGCCTCGGCGAAGTTTCGTCGGGCGCGTGCATAGAGCCGTCTTCCGGTCCCTTAGGTCCCGTAATCCGCCTGTGGGGTCCGGCGGTGGAGGTGAAGCTGTCCGCCAAAGTGAAGGACCCCGCCTCTTGCCAGATGCTGTGGGAGTTGAGTGAGAAGGCGTGTGGGGAGTGGAAGCTGTGAGCCTCAGTGCGTGATTTGACATCCCCCGGTGGCTGTATACGTGAGTGAGTATCGGATAGACCACATCTAATCAAATCTAGAGCCGATCGTTGCGCGCCCCCACAGCTTTAAGCATTTCACGAAAGAAAGAAAACAGACAGTGGAAAAGCATAATAAATGAATAGAGCAAGCATCTCTGGGAGAGATGGGTGACTCACGAACACAGTGGCACAGCGCACACCCAAGGAGAAAGCTCCGTGTTTTTCTTTCTTTGACGGCCGAGCCAGTTCCGAGAATTGCTCTCCCGCTGCAAGCACTGCTCAGGTCATGGCGCCCTCGGTGCGGATCGTGCAGGCTGGCGTTCCGTCGGTGGTTGGCACATTCGCAGCCAAGAGCCCGACCGCAGAGATTCCAAAAGGCTTCGCCGCCGTCTGTGAGAGTATGCGATGGCCGACAGCGGAGAGCTGGCGATCGCTGGCCGATCAGCAGAAAACTTGGTTCCTGCACGAGAACGGCGCCTACATCTATCGCAACACCCGCGTGCCGCGACGGGCAGTGGTGGATAGACGAGCCGTCCGGGGGCGGCGTCTACGTCGCGAAGAGCGACTCAGATCTGCCGCCGACTGAGGGCGCGGTTCACGCCTCAAAATGTAAAAAAAAATGTTCGAGATCTCACACCTGTTTAGTCAAAGACTAGAGAGTAGAGAGAGAGAGAGAGATTTGTAAACCAACACAAGAAATCGCGAGACTCTCACAGACTACACAGACAGTGATTCTTGACATCAGAGGCAGAAAAAGAAAGAAAACAGCAAAGCAGGAATCAGGTCCCCACCCCCTGCACGTCCCCGATCCTCTTCAGAAAGAACAAGACAGAAAACGAGGGATGGGAGGAGACAGGTGAGGGAGCAGTCAGGGGAAAAGAATTCTTAAAATACAAGCCTCTCTAACAGCACACTGGGTTCCAACTTTTTCTGGGGTATTGTCTGGTAGGCTCGGCGGCCATCCCTGCTCTAGCGGAAATTTTCTGTATATCGTGAAAAAAAATATTCTTAGCTTCAAGCCCCCCTCCGAGACTAGGGACAGCGATCTGAGGTCCAACTAGGCGTATGCATTGCCCATCCATGGCTATCACCTGGACCCATCAACAGGCGCCTGCGGCGCCGTGGTCACGAGGTGTTGTTCACACCTGGGCAAGCATTCGTGCAGCACAGTACACCTGGTATGTCTTCTGCCAGGGTCCATCTTTTCCCGGGTATGGTATGGTGGCGCCAACCCACCTCGAGACCATACCCCCCCGCCTCTGGGAAGACCTTGGGTTATGGTAGGGCTAGCCTTGGGCGGTCAGGACCATGCCCCCCCCCCTTTGCGTCTGAACCACAGCGTGTCCCGACTCGACCGCCGGCGTCCCGCTCCGGGGATGTTTCTCTTCTTATCCGTTACCATGTAGAGCAAGGCCGAGGGCGGGCCCTTTTCGGGCTTGGGCCGCCCTCTCGCCCGCACCTCGGCGGGGCTTGCACGTGGTAGCGGCGGCTCAAGATCCCAGCGATCTCGAGTTCTTCACGCTATCCACAAGCCCAGGGCTTGGTTTGCTGATAACCGCATCTCGCTCTGCGCATCTCTGAGGCTACCCGCGCGCCGACTGCTACGCGCGCGGCGAGAGGCGCACCCCATCGGGGACAGGATTGAGGCCCCTGTACAAGCTCGGCAACGCTGCCGTCGTTGCCCTCCCGAGCCCTCAACACGATGCCGCACATTGCGCAACCCGTTCTGCGCACATGCCGCAGGGAGGAGTTTTCACTCTCCCGTCCGAGTTTCTCCTTCCTGCAGGGCGAGAGACATCAGCCTCTCTACTTCCAGGAGAACATCTACGCCACACGCTATCCCGACGGTC